TAATACTAGTCTCCCATTTTATTTTCTCTTGTATATCACAAAAGCAATTAACGCATCATACAAACTATATATGTAAGAATAATGTACTGATAATAACTCTTAAATATTCCCATTCAACAATATCTCTCATGAGACAATATTTCCCTTGTAAAAGTACTATGACCAGCAGCAACACGACTGCTACGATGGGTGTTCAAAACTATGAATGCACTGATCATCTGGGAAACTATCAGTGCAGATTTTTCTTACATTGGAATCAAAATACCCCTAAAGATGCCAATCATTCATGTTTAAAATGTTCATGAAAAGCCATACATCAAAATAACAGGAGACTTGGTTCATCTCCTCATATAAAGCTTCAACAAGAGCACATCATCAATCAGTCCATTCAATCAAGATGCTAAGTCCTCTAACATTTTACAGGTAAACCTCATTAAGACTGACCACAAGAATCCAAGGCAAAATATATCATTCAAATGGTGATCTCCAAATACAGATCCGGTTATTCAAGCAAGAGTTAATCAACAGAACAGATTAAGCAAAATGAGGGGACTTCAGTGTTAATGAGGTCCGACTGTACCATTGGTCAGCACACACCCCTAACATGGGAATATGTACAGATGAAGGTGTCTAGTATTCCTACTGAGCCCTTGGTTGCTCCTACTCTCATATGTTTCCTTGGTTTATCACAAGCAGGCAAACTAGGTGTGAAGAGACTAACTATTATGACACTTGAAGTCATCTTCAGGGGGCTTTATTCCTTGAAGTGAAAAAAGAAGAAAAAAAAGAACAAACCTGACAAAAAGACTACAAAAATCACAATAGTTCTTCCCAGCACATTTGATATCAATGTAGCACATACCGAGTAGGCAGAGGAAAGCTTCCAGTAACAAATTACATACCTATAACGCATCCATGGAGGAAATAGGCTACACATAATTGTCACACTAAAACTGCTTTGGAACTCTAGCTACTCGGCTACTATGTCTGGTTATCATCGAGACAATTTAGTCCTAGAGCTGTGGGGATACCTCATAGCTCCAGTTATATATATATGTGGGACAAAGAGGTATCATAATGCAACAGACACCCTGCAGCAGCAGGAATATCTTAGGGATAACAATTAAATCCTGGATCAACAGGGGAACCCTTGGACCACAGATACCTCAGAACAACATTGTGTATCAAAAGAAATACTCCCAAGCAACAAGACCAGGAGCTGAGGAGATGAAGAATTGCACACTATATAACCATGACTATCCAACTTCTGAGTTTGTGATATTTAAATGACAATCAAAAAGCTTTGTGATAACCTAGTTAATCACATAACTAATACCAGTACACAAAGCACAAAAACTATTTCTTTCATTTCATTTCCTAAAGAAAAATGCATAAATACATAAAAAAAAAAAATATGTGACAAGTTAGGGGAAGCCAGAAGCTTCTTTGAGCAGTCATAGGATGCAAATCAAATTTGGTTGATGATTCTTTAGTTAAAAAAGGAATAGATTTCTGCAGTGAGGGACAGCAGCTGACCGATGCAACCAGTGGCTCCACATAGGACAATTTTTAACCAATCAACTCTGTAGCTCCAACCACAAAACAGACAAGAAATTTTGAGCTTATATCAATTTAATCTTCCCGTAACCACTGGCAAACAATAAGATTACAAGGACAGATGGCCACATCTAAAAATGACTGTAACATGTTAACTTATTGATCAGTTAACACCTGCCTACTGCATTATCTATAAAGAGAAAAAATATGGGGCAAACCAGATAAACAGAGTCTTCATGTCCTATCTATGTGCAGTTCTTTTCTTCTTGCAGACCATTAAATCCTCAAAATCTTAGCTGATTAAAATTAGTGGTTTCTTTCAATAAAAGCAACAAAAAACATTAATTAGAAATTTTCAGAACTATGTTAATCTGCAGTATAACATCACCATTAACAACAAGAGAGTATCACCAGCAGATCCCTACTACAAAATGGTGAAATGTGTCTTTATTTTTCTTTTATTTTAATTTTTTTGGGTAAACAGAATTCTGATCAAGTTACAGACAAGTAGTTCTCTTCATAAATCAACACAGTATGTTCTTAACAAGCAATACTCAGTAAGGAATCGACCTCTCCCAAACATCCTTGGGCAGCCAGCCATCTGACCTTCCATCTGTTTGAAAATAAGTAATCTTTCACCTTTGTTAGAAAGTATTACAGAACTGCTGACAGTCAACAGCTGATACAGCCACAAAACAATATTAGAGAAATGTATAGTATGATATTTCCTAGGTAAGGTAAAAAATATATTCACCTGTTATTTTTACATATTCCTAAACAAATACAAATTGGGAATAATTGGAAAAAATACAACTGTACAATTGGGCAGCTGACACTGCAAGAGTTGCACAAGCCCCATTATTCTAATAAATCATAAATTACACCTAACTCAACAAGGCATTGGCTTGAGCCATAATGTATGCCTTACAAACTGAGAACACTTTATATAACATAACATACAATATATATGTCTCATGCCACATCCCATTCACAGCTGGCCCATTAAACTACAATTTAAACTCTTTTATAAAAGTCACTTTTCAATTTGAACACCATTCTTTTCAACTCTTTTACAGTCACTTCAATCATATAATATGGATCACAAGATGAGAAGTACCCCCAGACTGTGGTTAAAACATAAGCATTAGCACCAGGAGTCTTGGTAGGTACTTCTGAGTCCATGATATGGAGAAAACATGTCACTGTGTTAAAGTGCACACGAGCCTTGCTGAGGACTCCTAGAGCTGTCGTAACTAGGCCTTGCCTTGGAGACGTCCTATTTATGAACAAGTTACAAGGGCTTAGGACTCGATATATTATATATATATATATATTTAATTTATATAAGAACAATAGTAGTTTTCTTTTGCAAATCAATTTGGCTGAAATACTGGTCTTTTGAGTATAATAAAAAAATAAATAAGAATAATGACATGGATAAAATCAAATAATAATAAAGATAACCCATCACTGATCTTTCAACTTTCACAGATTCATAGTTACAAGCTTCCAAGACATTGTACCTCATGTATAATTTGACCAATTGACGCACGGGACAACATTGCCTCCAAACGGCCTGTCCCAAATCAGTTGGGCGGCAAAGAGAAAAAACTTGCAATATATTAAGGCAGGTACTAGACACTGTCCGTGGACTAAAATATGTCTGGACATCTTGACCATTCCTGCTTTTCCTTGCAGTCCCAATATTCATGCGTAAACCTAAAGATGAGAGCCCCAGTGACGTCATCCGTCTCCTTTACGAACCATGTTGGACAATAGGGAGGATATTCACGACCTGCAAAAGAAAAGAAAAAAAAAAGAACCATGAGTAAATGTGAACAAGAAAGTAAATGTAATAAGACATGGCCTAATCTGTAAATAATCATCTTGCCTTGCTGCAACTGAGAAAAAAATCATAAATGTTACTGAAGGTAGAGTAAACAGAACCTTTATGTAAACTGGAAAAAATAAAAATCCTTAGGTTTTATATTTAATGATCCTAATTTTGTTTTTGTTTTCCCAATCACTGATACAATGAGCAATTGTGATCATGAATATTATCATTTCAAGAAAGAAAAAGAAAAAAAAGCAAGGCAGTATTGAAATAATCATATCTAACAGAAATTATTAAATAAATAAATAAATTTGTGTTCTACTAGGGATCAAAAACCATAGTTTCCAATAAAATATAAAACACTTAAAAAATATCCACAAATACAGTCACATTTGTAAAAGAAAATTCACAGGATTATCAGCAATCCAAGTAAAAAATAATAATTCTTTTCAAAACATTATCCACTTAGTACTAAGAGGAAGAAAAAGAAGATAAAGCAGAAGGAGGAGGAGGAAAAGAAAATGGAAAATGAAGTAAGAACACAGTGTTTAACCAACCTTCAGCTGCTGCCTGCTCGGCCTCCGCTTCCCGTCTGCGCCGAGTCGCTCGTTGTTTCTCCTCTAGCCTCAACTTCTCGGCATTTGCTTCATCCCACATTCCCTCCTCCATCAGCCTCTGGTCAGGCCGATGTCGAGAGTCAGTCGGTGAGACGTTCTCCTCTGGCTCATTGAGCTGGCAGGCCAATTTGGTGAAGTTGTAGTATTTTTCTGAATCAGGCCTGCAAGAGGAAGGAAGAAGTCTTTACTTAACAGAACCTGAAAAGCCTTTCAAGAACTACACAATGTTGAAAAAGGTTACAGTACAAATGTATATCATTATCATTATCATTGGTAATAGAATATTTCTGTTAGGTATCTTGTCATATCATACATATCATAGAAAGTTACTATAATCATATCCAGAGCTACTGTTTTTTCTAACTTTTGAACCAAGATGCATTCCAAAGGAGTTTGGAACATATATGTCTCTTAACCTGAAACTAGGCTAGTTGAAAAGTATAACCTTATATATAAATATATGACATGTCCACTGTGATTTTACTGTGATATATACACATTAGAATCTTATCTTTAGAAAAATGAAAGTTTCTCATAAATTCAAGATATAGAAATATCAAGTGAGGCTCCACTATTTGCATGGCTTCAAAATGGAAAGTAAATGTGACCTATAAATAAAAAATAAATTATTTAAGCTGTTTTAGAAGTTACGATTCTATTGGAAATTTTGGAATCATATACATTTCCTAAAATACCAACCATTATATTAAAACAAATATAAAAAATCTTTCCTGTTCCATCTATAACCTCAAAGGACTTACATACATCCTCATAAATATTGCAGAGGACCATTAAATATCTAATAACCTTCAATCTGATCTTAAAACATGTAGATAAACATACACAAATGCACACAAAAACACTCACACTCACTCACTCTCCTTCCCATACTACACATCAAGCACACATATAGCATTAAGATTTTTCTACCTATACAATCATTACTTACACAATTGGATTCCTCTTCCACAATACTTTTGGTGGTCCAGTCT